ACCAGTGTCATCACTTCTACCATTTCTGCTCTTTAAAATTTAGAAAAGCCACTTCAGGCTAGAGAAAAACCTAGAAAGAAGAGCACCAAGACAAACTGCTGCTACTGCACCTCCTGCCTGCAGAGCATCCGTTTGGCACAAAGCAGCTCTGAGAGCAGAGTCAATATCCAAGCTGGAATGGAAGGAATGAGAGCTGACGGGTTCTACAGTACACAGACATCTCTCCCACTCATAGCCAATGCAACTCAGAATTACAGAAGTGCTGGTGGAAAGGAGCTCTGGAGGTCTTCTACTCAACCTCCTCCTTAGAGCAGGACTATCTACAGCACTAGGTTAGGTCAGTCCTGAGTTTGTCCTGACAAGGCTTCAAAACCCCCAAGGACAGTGACTCCACATTACCCTCATGCCTCACCACTCTCCAAGGCAAGAAGATTACCCCAGTCTCCCATGTGAACCTCCCAAGGTTCAGGGACCACTGCTACTTGTGCTGATGGCCCCTGTTGACACCATTGAGAAAGGCTTGGCTCTGACTGCCCTTCAGGGAGCTGTGGGGTGCTGTTAGATCTCCTTTGGCCTCTCTAGTCCTTTGCCAGACTAACCAAACCCAGCTCCCTCTGCCTCTGCGTGCCAGCTGAGTGTTCCACATCCCTGCCCGTTCTTGTGGCACTGACATGACCCATTTCCCCAACTCCTTCCTGACTGGGGGGCTGGCACAGGCTGGACAACATAATACAGCTGCAGCCTCCCAGGCACTCAGCAGCAGGGTTATCAATTCCCATTGAATAAGCACCTCAGTGTGGTGCTTTGGAGAGCAAACATTCCCTGCAGTAGTGACAATAAACAAGGCCACAGCAGATGGCTCTTTGCTGCAAACTCCTCCACAGCAGAAGCCGAGGTCCACCAGCACTGGGGATGGCACCTGATGGCACTGTAATCTGGTTTAGGGCTTGGATCATTTCCTGTGGACATGCCACTGGGAAGCCAGGGCAGAGTTCACCTTAATGAATGTTCACTGACTCTGTTCAGACCAGGTCAGTATGATGCCTTTATCCTAGCAAACCAATATCCAGGCACTCCCAGAAGAGGTCCCAGTGATGGGCAGGGACAGACACTGATGCCACAAGGACCTTGCCTCATTCAGGCAACTCCCACAGAGTCAAGCAAGATCAAAAGGAACCAGCTCCTTTTCCAGCAGAACGACCTGTGAGTTACTCCATACGTACCCTTTACAGGTGTCAGACCAGCTGCTTCCCTGGACACTCAGAGAAAACCCTTTTGTTCTTCCCACCACACTTGGCAAGGAACAGACAGAAAAAAGCACTTCTGATGGTCTTCAATAAACCCCAAGACAACATTGTTACCTGTTACTCCCTTTGCATCTATGACGTTTGCTGCTGCTTTTGTCACAGCTGTGTTCAGAACATCACTGCCCACTGCATTCATTCGCCGAGCATTCAGAGCTCGCTTCTGCTTGCTGGTCCCAAATGCCTCGATGCACAAATCCATCTGTGCAGGAGAGATGCAAATTGAAACATGCTGCTGAACTGAAGAGACTTTGCACCTAAGAAGAAAACTCAGCCAACCACCACTTGTTCCACACTCTCCAACAAAACTTCAAATGTTACACTGGGCGCAGCCCAACCATCCAACAAGTACTGATCTGCAAGGGGGTAAGAAGTAACTGGGATGGTAATCAAACCCCAAATAATTATGAAAATACTGCCAAGTTAGGCACTAATAATACGCTGTCTCATAGACCTCAAGGCACAGAGTGCTGAACTTGCACAGCTTTACAGTGCAGTAAACCAAACATGACAGTCTCATCTACCACAGTTAGCTGGACAAACACAGCAGAATACGATATGGGGTTTCAACTTTACCTTCTCTCTGTAGGATTTAGTCTGATAATCCTTCGTGTCATCAGGTATTAAGTTATCTATAAAAGAACAGAAGTCAGTATGCATGGCTTGCAGCAGTCAGGACAGTACATGTTTTTGGTATCCCTTTAGCTGTAATCCATTACTGAATGACTTGGCACATCACTTCAAGATCTCCTCCACAGGACTTGGTTAATTAAGGAACACACTGAATATGAGTACCTACCTACAATAAAAAAAGGAAAGGGAAGCCAATTTTTGCTATAAAGCCTATGAGCTTAATGCTTGGACTGCAGAAACACTCGGGTCCTGCTGCACACAGAAGAAATAAGCTCCCAAAAGACCAACTTTATTGGGTTATTCTCCTGGGTTCAGTAACAGAGAGCAGTACTGCTGCAGAAAATTTGTTTTGTTTTTCAGTGATCCAGTCCCTTGAGCTTGTAATTTCTAGGCTTCCATCAGCAGAGCACACCTAGACAGGGCTGCACTTACTCTGAACAGTGATGACCGTTACTGACTCCAGCACTTCCACCCTCCCACCCACAACAATCTCTGTTTAACCTCCATCCTAAATTTCACCTTGCTTCCTTCTCCCTATGTTTTTCACATTACACAGTGCCTTAGAAGGAGAGGGTAACATATCTTCCTTCCTCCATGCTGAGAGAATAAGGCAAAAACGAGGAAAAGAGCAGCCAGGGAGGCCACAGAGGGTACTGCTGTCAGCAACCAGGCAGTCAGTACCTCAATGCATACACAGGTCTAGCATGTTGTGACTTGGTGCTGGGGTTAAACACAGCATCCTCCTACCTGACAGCAAGGGCTGCATGTTGAACATTTCAGCATTATAGACTTCCATCTGCCCAGAGTCTTTGTCTAACACACCAACAAAATACCTGGGAAGAACAGTGAGAAGTGATTAGTGAAAGACAGTTCAGTGGAAGTGATGTTCTAAAATAAATCAGAATCCCAGCATGGTGGGGGTGGATTGGACCTCTGGAGATCAGCTTATCCAACCTCCCTGCTAAAGCAGTCACCCACAGCAGGGTGCCCAGGGTCACAGCCAGGTGGGTTTGGGATCTCTCCAGAGCAGGAGACTCCACAGCCTCTCCAGGCAGCTGCTCCAGGCTCTGCACCCTCACAGCAGAGCAGGTTCTCCTCCTGCTCAGACAGAACCTCCTGGGTTCCAGTTTGTGCCCCTTGCCCCTTGTTCTGTTGCTGGACACCACTGACCAGAGTCTGGTCCCATCACCTTGCCCCTCGCCTTTTAGATATTGATCAGCATTTTATAAGCACTTCTATGGTGCAGAGCCATGTGTATTCTCTGTCCCCTACCAAATATTCTGTCTTGCAAGTAGAATTTTTCCAAGCACATTCAGAGTGTCATAATGAAACAAGTTATGTTCAAGGTATGCACTTACACATATAAAAAAAAATACAAAGATCTGTTGCTCTATGTAAACACAGAAGTCTTAAGACAACTAAATTAGGACCAAAATGCACAGATGAAGATGAAATCTAGGTGCTGAAGTGCTTGCTGCTGTTCTCTTTTGACTTTTTGACGTGTCACAACCCTGAGTTTCTCAGTGCTTCTGTGTAGTTTCCTGTGTTTTAAAAACTAGGGTTCCCCATGGCTGTTGCTCTGCTTAGTACAAGTCACTTTAAGTCCTCAGAGCTTCTCAGATATATGACTTTGCTGTCTCTAAAACAGGATGATTTCTCTCAGGTAAATTCTTTTCCATCACACATATCAGAAGAGTAAGCCAAAATGGTTTGTGCTGCTCCTCACCATGTCTCACAACCCATCAGGAACAGGCTGTAAGTCACCCTTACAGCTGATCAGGGCACTAGTGGCACCAGTTTCTTACACGGCCAGAAGAGTTCATTCCATGTGATACCTTTTGACAGGTGCCTGCACTCGGTCTGTTCCGCAACACATCCTCCTAAAACCCAGCACACAATTCCTGAGACAAAACCCACTTTACAACAAAGCTGCTGGTTGCAGTGACAGCAGAACTCTATGCAGGTCTCAAAGGAGCTGCCCGAGTTCAGTGCGAATCACAGCAAAGGGTCTCTGGGCAGCTCTGCACCAAGAAGGCCTGGGGTCTGGCTGACTCATTGACTCTACACCCAGAATAAAACTTGGCTGTTTCTGCTCGCTGTTATATCCTCATTACTAGCTGTGTGCCCATTTTTAGGCTGACGGCTAGTGAGAGTGATGGGAATGGATCTGCTGGTGTAAATCCTCATGTGTGCAGCTGAAGCAGATGTGGGAGGAAAGGGACAGAAGGATGGGGTGGGAAAACTTGAAAGAAATGCAACAAATGGCTTAATTGACTCTTGCCCGAGTCTCTGAAGATACTGAGGCATATGCACATCTAATGAAAAAATAATACTTGAAGCTGAACAGAGATGAGCAGTTTGCTTGCCTTGTTAGCTTCCACAGCTCCAGATCTCCAGAGGTGCAGGCAAGAACCACTTAAGCCACTAAAACATCCTCTTAATCAGTGGTCAGAGATAAGTGCTAAATCTGACTAAAAATAGTACTGCATTGATACCTGTATTTTAATTATTCATTAAACTAAGTTCAGCTCTCCAAACTCAAGCAGAAAAAGCTGTTTGGTGCCTATTTTCAGCTACAGTATCTTCAAATGGAGCCTGTTGTATCTAGCAGGTCCAGCTCACCCATTTTCACCTCTCAGAAAAAAAGAAAGATTAGTATCAAGATGTTTTGACAGACTATTTCCAGAGGTGAAACCAGGTCCTTTTACAGAATTATAGAACAGTTCAGTTGGAAGGGACCTAGAAGGATCATCTTGGCCATCTGCCTGATCACTTCAGGGTTGACAAAAAGTTCAAGCATATTATTAAAGAACAAAAGCTAAAGCATGCTGTTAAGGGCATTGTCTAAAATGCCTCTTAAACACTGACAAGGTTTGGGGCATCAGCCACCTCTCTAGGAATCCTGTGATCCGAGCTAGAAGTTCCAGAGTTTGGCTACGCTGTAGTAAAGAAATGCTTCCTCATGTCAAGTGTTATGCAGACCACAGGACACCAGGGTGCCGACACCTGAAAGCCCCTCCTCTTCCTAACAGTGTCAGGGCACTCTGCTCTTCAGTCCTGCACTCCTCCTGAACTTCAACTTGCCAGACCTGATCAGGGCAGCACAACAACAAGAGAGAGAAGCCACATGAGCAAACCACGTGGGGCAGCTGGAGTCGATCTACAGAGCAGAGCAGTGGGCACCAAGAGCCTGGCATGTGTTACATGCACTTTGCTCCTGTGTAGGCTAGTAGGAGCAGTAACACGCATCAAAGGAGAAAAAACCAGCTCCTGGTACAACAAGGCAAGATTATTTTCTTTTCACATGATTTCACATGGGCTCTCCACCCATTTGTCAGTTTTTCTATTACAGAATGAGAAAGATCTCACATACAGAATGCTCCTTAGGAGACCAGTGTGATCTGCCCCCATGCCACAAAGGTCACGTTCTCAAACAGGGACACATAAAGGCCAATGGTTTCACCAACACTTCCTTCCACAGCGAGTGGCACAGACAGCTTATCAATTCACACAGCAGCATCGTGCTGTGGCCTTGAACTTAAACAGCAATTAATGACCCACAGGTTTCCTGGACTATTTCTTAACCTTCATTTCTTATTTTTTTTTAATAACACAGCTGTTATTCCTAGGTTTTGGCTACACTAAATTATTTCCTCATCCCTTCTTTCACAAGACCTTTTCAAATACACTCTGTTTGTATGTACCATCACAACTTCCAAAGGGGCATAACAAGCACAAACAATGCAGCTGCCAGTGGCTGGAGTCTCTTGGCTCAAATCACAGGCTCTTTGGGAAATTCTGAGCCAGCTTCAAAAAAGGCTACCAGGAACTCCATGTCTGAGCAATTCCTCTGCTTCCAGCTCCATGCTCCTGCCCTCGTTTTGCCAGGAAAACCCATACCTGCATAGGGAGTTACATTTCATAGCTCCACTGCCAAAGTTGTTCCCTACATATGAAAGCCTTTCAGTTTCTGAGACCTGAAAAACAGAGAAAAAATTACTTGAACACAGGGCTGTGAATAACCTCCTCTGCATCCACTTTATTTTCCCTGATCTCTACATTTCCAGGCACTGAACACTAGTCATGTGTAAGCAAACTTCACTTTGCCTATTTTGTTACATTTTGATCTGGTCAAAATCTTTAAAAGACCAACAAGATTTCCTGAAGCTAAAATTAACCATGATTTATAATTTTATCCTAGCTTTCACTGGGCCAGAAGATGTGGAACCATTGCCAAGAAATCACGGGAAACATAAATTAAATTTAGTTTATCAGTGTAGCAAACCTGGGTGTCACCACAGTTAAAATACCTCCCTGTGTGGACCACTGTTCTTTAATCCAGAAGCAACAGCTTGTGAAAGAAACTGTGTTTAGTCATGAAGTCATTAGTGAAGAGAGATCAGGCCCCTCTACCAGTCAATATAAGAGACTATTTCCAGTGCTTTTGGGCCCTTAACACAGCTGCTCCAGGCCTCTGTGTGCTTCCAGACAGGACAAACTTTTCCAGATTTCAGCCTGGAACCAAGGCACACCCTGGGCAGAGCCACCACTACTACAGGCGAGGGGAACCTGGTTTATAATGTGATATTCAGTGATCCATTTAAAGCTCTAGTACTGCCAAGTGACTGCACTTCACTGACTAAAACAATAAAAAGCTAGTGTTACAGGAACAGCTCAACTAACTCAATGTATTTCAAAATATTTGTGTTTCCACTTTACTGTGGTGTACTTCCCCTGAGGATTTTGGCTGAAAAGTCATTTCTTCCTTGAATGAATCATGCATGTAAATAGCTGTAAAACTTCACAACTGCAGAAGAAAGCACCTTCTGACTTGAATCTTGGTTCCCTCTTCACTGAAAGAAATCAAAATCTCCTTATAAAGTAATTTAACAACAAAAAAAAACCCTGGTAAGGAGTTCAGCATGTTCGTCATGGTTCAATCATAAACCAGCAGATTTGGTAATCAAATGAATCAAATGGACCTGACTAGTTGTTAAGTAACAGCTTTTAACTTACAATCCTTATTTCTCTTTAGGTTATTAAAATAAATCATAACTACACACAATATCAACATTTTCCTGAGAACACACAACCCTGTATCAACCAAACTGTTCAAATAAACATGTATTCAGTTCAGACAGCAAGGTCACCAACTCTTGACACGTCACTCTCAACACCATTACTCAGAAAGCCCAGTCCTGTATTATCCCAGCTTCTCTCTGTTCCAGGAGTCGATCTGCAATGCCCAGCCCGCAGGGGCGCAGTCTGATGCTGATGTGCTGCACAGAAACCACTGTGCTTGGACACCCGGTGGGGCTGCAGGACCTCCACCTGCTTCTCGGGGATGCAGGGACACCTCGTGGGCCTGCAGAGTGTTTTGGGTTTCCTTGGCGGGGAGGCTGGTGCTCCAGAAGGTCAGGGAACAGCTCTGTCCCTGATCAAACTTGTGCAGTGCTTCCCTGAACATTCTGTGCTTCCACCACCCCCATCGCGGCCACTGTGGTGGCATTCCACATATGAACTAGAACTGCCTCCCAAATGCAACATATTTGGTGAAATTTGGAAAACAGTTCTCTATCTCACACAGGCTGGGGCTAATCTCGGACTGATTTTTTTTGTTGTTTTTAATTGGCTATGAAGCAAAGCTTCATCCAGATTTTCTGAGCCTTGCTTGCTATCCAGCAATGACAACAGCTGGAACGGAGCGTACCGGAAACTAAAGTAATCCTCAGCCAGAC